CCTAACTGAAGCTGCAGTCAGCTTGTCAGCCTGGGAATGGAGCTGAGAGTCAGGAGAAATCCAGGCCTGGAGAGAATTCCCAAGCTGGAATTCCCCAGCTCCATAAATGTGTGTGTCCACAGAATTTGCACAGGTAAAGGCAACACCTGATTCTTTGGGAAACCCACTGGAAAACTGCTGTGGGATTTGGGAGCACCCAGCCAGCCTCTTCCCTTTAGATTTTTTTTTTTTTTTCCTCTTCACCCCACTTTGGGTGAAAATCTGCATGTCCTTGGAGCTGCCAGCTTCATTTGTCCCCCTGCCTGCTCCATCCCGAGTCCTTGAAGCTTCCCTGGCACGCTGCTGCCAAGGCTCCATATGGGATCCCAGAAATACAGCTGGAGGACAGGGACATTTAACTCTTCCCTGTCCCCGTGGGCCAATCCATTTGGAGCAGCAACCCTCGGCTTTCCCTTCCCAAGGAAGTTGGGAAAGGTCTCGGGAAGCTTCTCAAGGTTGATTTATGGAGCTGACATCGGCCACGGAGGGGAGAGATTTATTTCCAGGGCTTCCATCTGTCCCACGCCTCATTCCTGCAGCAGAACCACGGCACGGAGCCTTGGCCTCCATCCCATAATATCTGGACCCACACCCTTGGGATTCCCTCTGCTGAATTCCTTCACAGCCCAAAATTCAGCTCTGTTTTGGGAACTCATCAGGAGAGGGGCTGAGACACAGAAAAAGAATCCCAAACCCCATATCTGCAGCAGGAATTCCAGGAATTCCAGCTTTTTCCATGGAAAAAAAATGGCTGTAATACAGAGGGAATGTCCACAATAAAATTGTGTTTATGGAGAGCTCCAAAGGGAAAAGGATTTCCCGTTGGAAAATAGGTTTGATTGTGGAATTCTCTGCTTTAGCCTCACTAATGGTTTGTCCCAGCCCAGGTGTTTTCCCTTTTATTCCATGTGGGATTTTATTTGGGATGAGCTGGAATCTAAAATAAATGAGGCAATCCTATTGATAGCACAAGAATTTAGGATTTAAACAAAATTCTTTTCTTCAAATATTTTATGGAGGGAAAAAAACTCATGTTTTTTAACTTGTTTTATGAGAGAGGAGCAATAATTTTTAAAAGTGTCAAAACTCAGTAAAACAGGGGATAAAATCCCAAACATGCTTTTCCTAAAGGCTGGAATTTCTGATTATTCCACTGGGTTTCTGTCAGGTTAAAATGGCTGAGAAAATAAACAGAATTAGATTTTGTTTTCTCCACTCACATAATGGATATCAGCTATAATGTATTTATGTAAAATGGGCAGTTTTATATCTTTTTCTTTGTTCTCTTCGAAAGTATTTTAGTCCATAGGAAAATACAATAAATGGAGATATTAATTGTTTATTTTGCTTTAATTTGTTTTTTGAGAATTCAGATAAAACACTGCTGATTAATGTGTCAAAATTTTACATTCAATTTATCCAAGCAGTGAAATCTCAGACTGTTTCATGATGGTTTTTTAACAACACAGAGACCAGAGTGGTTTGGATTAATTTTTTCTCTCTTTCTGCAACAGGAGGATTATTGGACAGACCAAAATAAATATTCACTCTTCTTATCCACGCTGCAATTCCCATGGCTGGGGTAATCCTGGTTCCAGATTTATGGGCAGCGAGCTCCAAGGGTGAGAATCTCATTTCACCTTGACAACATCCCCCGTTCTTTTCCACGGGATATCCTGGCAAAATGCAAAGAAAAATGGGAATTTGTCATCCTGAGCAGCAGCCTGACATTCCAGAGGGTCACTGGCTCCGAGTGCTGCTGGCCAGCAGTGACCAGTGGGGGCTGTACTGGGACCAGTGACACTGGGGACACACGAGGGGATGGTGGCAGGGCTGGCACTGGGCAGGTGACACCAGGCTGAGGGTGCAGTGACAGCCCTGAAGGATGGGATGGCATCCAGGGGGACCTGGACACGCTCCAGGAGTGCCCCAGAACCAGGCTGGGACACCTGGGGGTGCTCACCTGGAGAGGAGAAGGATCCAGGGAGAGCCCAGAGCCCCTGGCAGAGCCTAAAGGGGCTCCAGGAGAGCTGGAGAGGGACTGGGGACAAGGCATGGAGGGACAGGACACAGGGAATGGCTTTAAGGTAAAAGTGGCTAGATTTGGGAATCAGGAATTGTTCCCTGGCAGGGTGGGGATGGAATTCCCAGATTTGCTGTGGCTGCCCCTGGATCCCTGGCAGTGTTATCCCATTTTTTTTTTGGTTTGTTTTCCCAGGTGGAAGAACCCGATTAAACCTGGATTAAATCTCTTTTCTTGCCCACTGACCGAGATGGAGCAGCCCAGAACAGCGTTTTTTAGGGGAATTTTACAGATGGCAAATTTGGGAGGCTCGGGAGCACTCCAGGCCAGGCTGGGCGTGACCTGGAGCACCCCAGCTCATGGGATACTGGGATGGGATACAGGGTTGGGATAACGGGATGGGATAATGGGATGGGATAACGGGATGGGACACAGGGATGGGATACTGGGATGGGATAATGGGATGGGATAACGGGATGGGATACAGGGATGGGATACAGGGATGGGACACAGGGATGGGATACTGGGATGGGATAATGGGATACAGGGATGGGATAATGGGATGGGATAATGGGGTGGGATACAGGGATGGGATCCCGTTGGAACGGGACGGGCTGGCACAAGGGACAAGGGAGGACACGTGACACAGGGAGAACACGTGAGCGTGGTGGATCACGTGACGCGGAAGGACACATGACAGCGATGTCACGCGCCACGGGGAGAACACGTGACACCGGTAGAACACGTGACGCGGAGAATCACATGACACAGCTATATCACGTGACACCGACGAATCACATGACACGGGAGGAAGCGCGTGAACCGGGCGGATGCACGTGACCCTCCTGGTGACACCACGTGACCCCCCGGTGACACCACGTGCCCCTCCCTCGGCCGGGCCATGGCGGGCGCGGTGGCGGCCGCGGGCTCTGCCGAGCAGTTCCAGCAGCTGCTGCAGCGGCCGGACAGGTGAGGGGACACCGGGGGGAGGAGGGCAGGTCCCGTTCCTTTGTCCCTTAGTCCCCTACCGGGGGTCCCGTCCCTGCTGTGCCATCTCCGGGGCTCCATCCCGGTGACCCATTCTCCATTGCCATCCCCGGTGTCCCTCCCGTACCCCGGCTCCCATCCTTGGATTCATCCCGGTGTCCTTTCTTTGGGTGCCATCCCGGTCACCCATTCCCCGGTGCCATCCCGGTGTCCCCTGCCGGGTCCCCGCAGGGCACAGCTCGGGAGGGGCCGGTGCTGCCGCAGCGCTCGGTGAAAGCTGCGCGGGGAAGATAAAAAAACCCCAAAATGGAGACAAACCGAGCCCCAAACTGTGCAGAGGCTCGGCTTTAGCTCAGCTTTGGCTCGGTTTAGGCTCGGTTTAGGCTCGGTTTAGGCTCGGGGTTTGCCCGCCCCGCGTTCCCCTGGCTCAGCAGTCGCCGGTGCCACCCTGCAGCTGCTCCTGCCGCGGGGAATTTGGGGCCAAATTGGGCGAATTGACTCGAAAAATCCCATAAACCAGAGGTGCCCTGCGAGCTGGGATTGTCCTCCAGCCGCGGAAGGTGTCAGCAAAACCAGCAGGACATTGCAGTGGGGACAGCAGTGACACTTCAATAGGAACAGCAGTGGGAACGGGAACAGCAGTGACATTTCCATGGGGACATCACTGGGAACAGCAGTGACATTTCCATGGGGACATCACTGGGAACAGCAGTGACATTTCCATGGGGACATCACTGGGAACAGCAGTGACATTTCAGTGGGAACTGCAGCGTTTGGGTGTTTAGTGTCACACAAGTGACTCTGAATTATTCATCTCCTGCCCAGGGCTCTCATTAATCTGGTTTTGTGCTCTAATGATTAATGACAGGGCTCTGCTTTTCCTACAATCCCAGCCTGGTTTGGGACCTGAAAGCTCATCCAGGGACACCTTCACTGTCCCAGAGTGTTCCCAGCCCTGTCCTGGAACAATCCCAGTGTTTTTATTCCAATATTCCATGGCCATGTTCAGCTTTGGGAGGGAAGAGCTGCAGTAACCACCTCTGTAATCACAGATTTACAGGTGATTAAAAGTGTGCTGGAAGGAAATGCTGTTAAATGATGGCTCTGGGAAAAAGGAACAGGATTTCTTCCAAACTTGCTGCAGGACTTCCTCTTTCCCTCCTGGAATTGTGCTCCAGCTGGATTATTTTATAGGGACATTACAGAAGAAACTCGTGTGTTCAGATGAGAATGGCTTCAGGAACAAACACAATGTTTTAAGGTTATTTTTAAAAAGCCACCAGTAATTTTCTCATTGCCTTTGTCACAGAACATAATTCCATTTTCTCTCTAAAGGAATGGATTCTTTTATCCATGTTCTTGGACCCAAGATGAGTTGAGAATTCTGGTAACTCTTCCTCAGCTTCCTTTGAAAACAGCATTTATAATTCCACGTTAGTTTCAGAGGATTTCTTGTTTCAGGAAATTGACATTTCTTGCATCGAGTTATCAGTAAGTTTGTGTTGTAGCAGAAGTGTCAATCTTGATATTTAAAGAGAAAATTGGGGATTTGTCATAACCTGTATAATAGTGGAGCTTTTTTTTTTTAACCTTGGTTCAATGCAGGGAACACTTTGTTTAGAATTATGTAAGTGCTTCATTTTTCTAAGTCATTATTTTTATCTTTCTTAATGTTTTCAATTACTCTGGCTATTTTTTTAATGTGAAATTGAAGTGCTCAGAGAGCAGTTCAGTTGCAAAATTTGAATTGTTCTGTGACTTAATTATATAAAAAAAATCACAAAACCAAAACAATTCCAAAACCCATAGTGCAAATGAATTTAAAATATGTTCTTCCTGAAGATAAAAATGAATATATTGCAGCTGGATGTTGGTAAGGAAGGACCAGGCTCTGGTGGGATGAGGATGAAATAATTCTGTGAAGATTTGTCCTGTGCTCCATCCCTGTGGCCAGGCTGTGGGCACAGACTTAAACTGAGGGCTTGGAGGAAAAAAGAAAAGTTGTTCTGTTGTTTTTCTACCGGAATTTTCTAGAATGTCATTGAGAAATCCAGTTTGTGAAAACATCCAGGGTGTGTGATCAGGACCTGCTCCAGCTGTGCTGCCCATGCATGAACTTCCATTCTTTAGGAATAAAAGACATGAAGTGGCTGCTGTGGGATGGATGAGTTGATTTCTCTCTTTTATTAAGTAAATTAACATTAATACATTATCTCTTTAATTCCTTATTCCCATTCTCTGGTGGTTTTGACCTCTGCAAACATGGTGAACAGAATTGAAAATTCCAAAATCTTGGCACTGTTGGCATCCCAGATGTTGGTCCCCAGCGTGATGGGATTTCTGCTCCCACCTTTAAATGCTGTGTAGAACCAATCCCAAACATCCCAGCAGGGCTGGAATGAGGAGTTGGAGCTAAAGAAAGCAGGAAAAGAACCTTGCAGTGTGGTGCTGCAGTGCTGGGCTCACGGTGTTCCTGGGCAAGGAAAAGTCCTGGTTCTATTGAAATTATTAATTTTTGTAATGTCGGGAAGGTGGTGGGGACGGGTTTTTATGGAGTGCCCATCCCTGGAGTGGCCAGGGAGATCCTGGAGGTGGCACTCGGGGCTCTGGGCTGGGGACAAGGTGGCCATGGGGCACCTGGCTGCGGTGCTGGAGGCTTTTCCCAGGCTGGGTGACTGCAGGATCCTGCTCCTGTGGGGCAGTTTTCCCAGGAGTGAGTCTGTGTGTCCCCAGGAGTGAGCTCGGTCTGTCTGTCCCCAGGAGTGAGTCTGTGTGTCCCCAGGAGCGAGCTCTGTCTGTCTGTCTGTCCGTCCCCAGGAGTGAGCTCTGTCTGTCTGTGTGTCCCCAGCAGCACTGTCTGTGTGTCTGTCTGTCCCCAGCAGCACTGTCTGTGTGTCTGTCTGTCCCCAGCAGTGCTGTCTGTGTGTCTGTCTGTCCCCAGCAGCACTGTCTGTGTGTCTGTGTGTCCCCAGCAGTGCTGTCTGTGTGTCCCCAGCAGTGCTGTCTGTGTGTCCCCAGCAGCACTGTCTGTGTGTCTGTGTGTCCCCAGCAGCACTGTCTGTGTGTCTGTGTGTCCCCAGCAGCACTGTCTGTCTGTCTGTGTGTCCCCAGCAGTTCTGTCTGTCTGTTCCCAGCAGTGCTGTCTGTCTGTGTGTCTGTCCCGCAGTGCTGTCTGTCTGTCTGTGTGTCCCCAGCAGTTCTGTCTGTGTGTCCCCAGCAGTTCTGTATCTGTCTGTCTGTCCCCAGCAGCACTGTCTGTGTGTCTGTGTGTCCCCAGCAGCACTGTCTGTGTGTCTGTCTGTCCCCAGCAGCGCTGTCTGTGTGTCTGTCTGTCCCCAGGTCCCTGGTGGTGGTCCATTTCTGGGCGCCGTGGGCTCCTCAGTGTGTGCAGATGAACGAGGTGATGGCAGCGCTGGCACGGGAGCACAGCCAGGTCACCTTTGTGCAGGTGAGCTCCTGGCACGGGGCCAGCCCTGGGGGAGGGCAATGGGCCCAAACAGGGGGAGGTTCCTCTTGGAGTGTC